TAAAAGAGAATATGTATACGTATTTTTCATCGTGTTAAAGTGAGACGTTTATTGTTAAAATCAGTTCTTTTCGTAAAAATTAATTATAAGAATTATATGAAGTTAAGTCAATCCAATATACTAGTATATTGGGCATATTGAACAAATTTTTGTCGTCCGGAATGTTAGAAGATTTACAGACTGCAGAGGGTTTTTGAAAGATATTATTTACAGAAAGTGTACTGCTAGTATCAGCTGGAGTTTCAAACAAAGAATTAAAGTTTTTTTCTGAAATGCAGTTATGATAACGAAACTTGCAAACAAACACGGTAATATCAATCTTACAAAATGTTGTTTGATTGGTTGTATGATGTTTCTCTACCCTTACTCTTGCCATTTCAACCAGAAAATACAGTACATATTGGTACAATAGTTTAAAACAGAAGCTACTTTATATCAGATATTACAGAATACAAACCTCTTGTATAGTAATCTGATACGCAGGGCGACTGAAGACAGGACTTTCATCATTGACGTCTATAAGACTCAGGGTAACCCTTAATATAGCCTGGATAAAAATAAAAGGTAAACAGGTAAGGCAAATAAGGACATAACAGACATCTATCTCTTTCTCTTAACCACACTAGGTAAATACATTATTACTGTTGTACCAACAACAAACCCTCTTTCTGATTTTGTTTATTTTTAAAGTAAAATCTTACGAGTCAGATCGTGTTACTGGTTTTTCCTTTGCATTTAAAATCATTTCGATCCATATCATTGGTTTCATAATCACAAAATTGGAGGAAACAATAGATTTTTCCTTAATATTGAAGTACTGTTCGCTTTGTTTATGAAGCAAGAAATGTTTTGAAGGAAGTAAAAAATTGTGAATGCATAATAAATCAAACAACCGGTCTTGTAGACAAAGATTTCCCCCGAGAAAATAAGCTCTAAGATTTGAACTAAATAATTTAAGATTAACATGTAATACTAAATTCTACAATTCTCGAATCTGAAACACATATTTTTCATTATAAAATCAACTGACTTTTATGTACATGTAAACTCTTTGACATTTTTTGTCAATATGATAAGCATTGGCAAAAGAGGGGATATCTTCCTCAGAAAAAAGAAAGAGGGGAAATTTTTAGCTCTAATTTAAGATTTCTCGTTAAGGGGAAACCCTATTTAAGAGTAAAGACCCCGGAGGGCAAGTTGGCTATGGGGGAAATCCTGCTCTACAACACCGGTACTGATCATTTTATTAATGCTTTGGGTATCACAAATTGATCTTTTCTATCTAGCTCAAAAGAAAAGAGCAGAAGTTGACAAAAAATGATCAGGGATTGTCGAGCGTTTCTTACCTGAGAAAGAGATGGGTTACTACTTTGGGCAAAGAAAACAAGATCCCAAGTTGCTTTCATCTAAAGTGTTTAAATGATAGAACAAAATTATAAATTATAATAGGAAGAAAAAAAAGCATCAGAAAAAGTTAGGTATTCAAGATATTTCATTGTTTTCTATAAATATCATACAAAATTGTTATACCTCTCTGTCTAAATTAGTCATTAAATACACGTGCCCGGCAACTCTGTTGCCGATGTTTCTGGTGTGTGTATTGTTTACGTAAACAATGTTACTTGAGGCGACATCTGCTCTGATAGTTACATTCAGATTTGGATTCGATACCGAGGCATTGAGTGTGAAAGCCAATGCTGGATTATCTGTAAATGATTCATTAAAATACGTTTGCTGAATATTTGCAATAAAATTTTTCATTTAAAATTGATTGAGAGAAAGAGAGGGAGGTAGCACAACGATATTCACTTAATAAGTGAATACCAGAATCCTTGGTTTAACTGTCGACCTACATAACCTAGCAGCTCTGTAGGAAAAGCGCGCAAGACCACTCAGCCAACTAGGAAAGTGAAAAAAGTTTATTTCATTATAAATAGGACCAGGGTTGTTTTTTTTTTATCGACAAAGACCTTGTCGATTTCCGTTCCAATTAATGACATAAGGCTGAATACATACATGTAACAATCCTATCTTAATTTATTCCTTAAATCCCAACCTATCAAAATATCATAATTTTATTTAGGTTTAAGTACAGACTTGCCCTGAAGGACTTCTAGGCCAAAATTCGTGCAAAAATCAACGCTTTAAGGGACAAAATGGTCATTCGAACAACTTTGGAGGTTTATTGTGAAGTTGTAAATACTAAATTTTAATTGTAAAATACAAATTTCACAAGATTTAGATATATTAATGGTAGAAAAACAAAATGTTATATTTCCGGCAGATTGTTCTCTAGTATAGGTCAAGTCTTTTGTAATAGTGAACACATCCTTTGCTTTCGATACCTGTAGAATCGCATCGCCTCACTACACTACACGGTCATTCTGAATGAAATACAGATATTTGGTTATCAGTTTATAAAGGATGATAACCACATACACATTTTTAAAACACATTAGTTCACTTAACTTATTAACAAACATAATTACCCATAGCTTGTATGTTTTTTAATGTCCCTCTCGACAAATTGCCACTATTTGTCGATAGAGAGCTGCAAATTTTGACCTACCGTTACTCAGGACCATTGATTAGTGAGGGATTTGTTCTTGCCATCACCTACAGCGAAACGGGACCTCGGTTTTAACGGCCTCATCCTAAGGACCAGTCACCACGTCCTACAATTGAATTTGAATCCGCGAGGTATAAGGATCAAATCCTTACTCTGCCACTTATTTATACACTGAATTCACGATGGATTTTCCTATTATTTCCCAATCATGAAAAGGTGCACACTGCAGGTGTTACGGTAAACAGGGAATTCCCTGGTACCTGATCCAAACTACGATGTTTTGGAGGCTTGTGTTTGCTCTGCTCCTTTTTTGTATTGTTTATGGACATCTGATCTTGAATAATACTGTTCGTTATCTCCATATGCTTCATAATATACAGCTTGGCAGCACAAGAATATGATGCATCTAATTTCCCTCATGTGCCATTTATTTTGCTTGAAGATCCTGAACTGATAGGTTTGCAAACAATATTTGACAGTGACAGCATGCAGAAGTTAGCAGTAATAGAACGCGTGGACTGATGTATTATTCCATATCAAGTTCTGAAAAACTTACCTGTGTAATTTCCTTCAGCATATTCGAAAAAAGCTGTGTTTTGGTCAAAATGCGGTGGAGTCAGCTGGCCCCGCGTGAATCTACAGGTACCTGTCAATATGGTATTTTTTTCACATGTTAGGTACATTGGAATGCAGTGACAGATTAGGAAATTTAAGAAGAGGCTTATTAGCCACATCGCTTACCAAAGCTTTCGCTGGAGAAAAACAGAAATCAACTGAGTTTTTTAAGGATGCAAATATATGTATTCCTTTCCCTCCTCTTCGCTCCAAGAGGGGCAGGAGAGAGATCATGGTTTGAACATAATTATTTTAAATCTACATTTCCGTCATCTGGATATCAAGATTTGAATAAACTTGTATAATTAACTGTGATTGCTTCCACATCAATTAATAATAATAATAATAAAATCCAAAATATAATTAATAATGAATTTGCCTTTCTTTAGTTTTAAAGATTTCTTTGCGAATACCCTTTATCTTTAACAACTTTGAGAACCTTACCGTTGGGGAGATAATAAGAATAAGTTTCTATCTGCACTACAGTTGTACTAGCTTGCAGATGCTGCCTTAAAAATTTGACTGATATTGGTATTATTATCCTTTAAAATATTTTTTTAGATGTTGTTTCTATGCACATGTATTCTTAGGTAAAAATTTGTCAAGTGTGTTCCCTCCCTACCCCACAGAAAAATGATTGAACAAACCTCTTTTGGCAGAAAAGCTCACTTGAGCTAAACACTGGCAACTGGACCATGAAACATCTTGAGCTTAAGTCAAAAACCGTATGTTGTGCTGATATGTTGTAAACACGAAACATTTTAAAATGAAATTATGTTCAATTTTGCGTCAATTATGTGCTTTGATCTTTGAATATAGAACGTTAATTGACAAATTATCATAGGTTGAACTTTCTTTAATGCATGTCAATCTCTAGGGTCATGGTCAAAATGTTGAATTGTTGATACCAAGAGGAAGGTTTTTGCAGATTCAAGCAATACACCTGTGAAATACAGCTCTCTACTACTAACGGTTTGAAAGTTATAACCAAGTTTTAAATTTTTTTAAACGTGGTATAAAACTGTAAAATCAAGACCAAAAGGTAAAAAATATTAACACAAAATGAAAAGGTCTTGTCACAATTAATTAACATTTGAAAAGTCTATCACCAACTGTTCAAAAGATATGACCAAGGTTAGAGTTAGTTTTTTTAATATCAAAGCCTTAGCACCAACTGTTAAGAAGTTATGATCAAGCTTAATTTTTTGTATTTATTTGTATAATTGGGTCAAGGTCAAGAAATCAAATTTAGTGGTACCCAAAGAAAATCTTGTTATAAGTAGGGATGGCAATCGATTGCAGAATTGATAATCGGTTAACCGCAAAACGTTCCGACCGATTAACCGGTTAGTCGTATCAATAATACATTTTGACATTTTCTTTTCATTTACATAAAAAGGCTAAAAATACGTTAGAAGTTACATTCTGTTTATCATTTTGATCGGGGAAGTTAATGTAATTAAGAGTATATGTTATTTCAATTTCAATAGACAAGAAAACTATGAATCTTGCTTGAGAAATCAGACAGGGATAATTTTCCGGCGCAGATGTTAAAGAAGTTAATTCTGCGTTGTCCCGATTATTAGAACTAGTCTATGTCTGAACTCTCTCTTTATTCACAATTAACAACGTTCTTTATTTTAACATAATTTAATTGATAAAGGCAAAATATAGATAACGGCAAAATATAGAAATACTATAATTAAAAGTGATTAACGGTGATGTTTTTAATATCTTTAAAAAGACCACATGACTATTTGGGTAACGGTGTGATGATATAAAAACAGTAATAAACACTTTACGAATTGACCAGTTACCCTGCAATCTCAATCTGGAGAGCTATAATTACCTCTAAATATTCTTAATTATAAAATTTGTAAAAACACTAAATAAAAATCCATGCAGCGCTTTCCTTTCTTAAAAAAACAGAAGGGATTTTAATAAGGATCAACTGCGCTCAAATTTAGATATATTTTATTTTTTCCGACTAACCGATTACGGATTTTCTAACCGATTAGCATCGTTCCGACCGACTAATCGATTAACCTGTTACAAATTGCCATCCCTAGTTATAAGGAATAGGCATGCAAGATATAAAAGTCAAAGCCCAACCCAGTCAAAAGTTATGCGCAAGGTTAACGTTTTTGTGGACAGGCAGACAGACAGACACATTGACGGACAGGGCAAAAACTATATACCCCCGAATATTGGATAAAAGGGGCATAAAATATACGCATGATCCCAAACTCCAAGGAAGAATTGCCATTAAAAAGGTAAATATATTCAAATACTGATTCACCAGAAATATAATACAAAATTAAAAACTTACTTGAAACCAAGATAAAGGCGATGTGAAGTAGAAATGCCTTTTTCATTTTGAGTTCTCGAACCCCCTTTCACGTATGTCGAAAACTACCACTCCAACACATATACTGGTAAGAAACAAGACATTTTTATAAACTGTCGTTTAGTGTGTAAAATTTACGACAATTGACGTGTAAGTCGATAAAAACCAGGAAGAAAATGTTTATTGCACTTCGATAACAAATAATCCATACCTAAAGCCTTATCTTGATTAACATATTTTTTTTTATTGAAGTAGCGTGAAACAGTATGAACATTTCACATTTTAACAGTGGCAATATTGTTAAATTATATATTTTTGGAATCGAAAAACATCTTTTCCGGAAAGATTTATTACTACATACGCATAACCTTAAGCTTTACTATTCTGCAAAAGTTGTGTTGGAAAAAATTGTAGTTTTGTAAATGTCACCAATAAAATGTATACATCAATAGGTATATTTTGCATTACCATGTAGACCTAATATTGAAAAAAAAAATCAGACTAGTCAAAAATATCTAGTTTGAATTGACAAATTTTTCGCATTCCTTCTTCGCATATTTGTATTGTTTTTAGAATTTTGCGATTAATCACTGTTCCGTACCATTTCCATTTTATCACATTCAATTTTCTTTTCATTTTAACTGCCACAGACACGGAACAAACAACAACTTAATCACGTTGTATTCATATCAGTGAACTGAAAACACGAATATAGCTAATTTCCACAAATATAACACACGAAGGATAGTCAAATACAAATAGAAGCCTTATCTAAGAAGAACATTTGATGCCGTTATAGCGTTAAAAATAACATTTATCAATTGTCAAAGTAACGAAATCATTTATATTTATACACATTTACCTGCAAGTAAGTCTCCTTTGTAAAGACACTTTATTCCCAGACCTAAGGTAGTTCAGTGCCCAGTGATAAACACATTGTAAATTGTATTGCATTTCCTATCACAAAAAAATCAATATAGATATCGATTTAAAAATCACATTACTGATAAGAAACCCTTTCTCTTTTCCCATACTTATTGTCTAATCCATTCTGTGAACCAGTTTTAGACAATAATATTTAAATCATTGATGAATTCTGTAATTGAATACAATGGCTTACCTTACTGATGTATGTAGGAATAATCAACACATTTGACTTTCATAAAATTGACACGACTGTTCTTAAAATACTCCTTTGTATGTATTCACTGTGACACTTTTAACAAAATCATATATTTCACAAGTTCCAAGGATGACTTCGATTTATTTTTCTCTTGCTCATTTAAATGCTTAGACATGTTTAGGACTGTAGAACAGGTGCAATCAAAGGACTAAGCTCTCAGTGGCAGGTCTTGATAAAGTTCTTCAACCCTACAGAAAAAAAAAACGATTACATAACATGGGAAATAAAGGGACATGTAGGTTGCTGTGCATTAATATAAAATGGAAGTCAATGTCATTTATGATGTTTGCAGAATAGGCTAGACTATGATTGCAGTAAGATATGTGTGTCATATAAACATATGACAAGCCCTTTTACTATTCATTCGTAAAATAAACAAATTTCATTAAGAGAAATATCTCTCTAGCATAGAGAGATAGCTCTTTAACTTATAGAGATATCTCTTTGACTAATAGAGATATCTTTATACCTTAGAGAGATATCTCTTTAAACAAAAGATATCTCTTTTTGTAAGAGAGATATCTCTTTTTTAATTAAAGAGATGTCTTTATAAGCTAGAGAGATTTCTTTTTAAACGAAAGAGATATCTTTTAAAGTTAGAGAGATATCTCTTTAACAAGGTAAAAGAGATATCTTTCTTAGTTAGATACCTCTTTAGATTTTCATAAAGAGATATCTTTCTAAGCTAAAGTGATATCTCTTTTAATGAAAGAGATATCTCTTTTACAGTGATCCTTAAAATAAAATAATCATTTCACTACGAAAGCGAAACAGTGAGTAAAGTCTCTGGAATAGTTTCGCTTTTATAAAAAGAAGACTGAGCATGCAATACCCAGAATAATACATGTAATATGTAGACACAAATGCTATAAATCCCTTGTTTGAAACAACAAATAATAATGGCAACTTCGTCGATCAAATACTAAAAGATTAATATTCAGGAAAACGAAAGTAAGCATATTCCCAGCAGGCACACAACGTTGAATAAACTTTGAATCAACGTTGTTTTTCTATGTTGATTCAACATTGATTTTATGTTAGATTTTGAAAATTTGTATCAACTTTGAAGTCTTAACATTGAATCAACATTGATAATCAACGTTGATTATATGTTGAAAAAAAGTTGATTCAACATTTATTCAATTATTTATTTTGGAAAGGGGGTGTCATATACTAATAATATACTTAAAATTTCAACCGTTTTATTGCACGGTTGCTGAGATGCTTTCGTAATTGTTGAAGGGATAGCGACCCTCTGATAAGACAGATAGCTTTCAAAGTACAAAATAGTAATACTACTGACAGTTATCTTATTCAGTTTCCTGGCTGAGACCTCTGAGTAGTCAATTTGATGAGATCAAACATATGATGGAACCATTACTTTCTATTTCTTTTGCAAATTTCTTTGTAATTGTTTTATTATATTTAACAATAAAACATTTAAATCCAACATCAAATGCCTTATAAATTGAATAAGTTGTATCTTTTTAAGTACCATTTTAAAAATGGTTTAATATTTCAAGTACTTTATACAGCATTTTAATTATAATGGCTTTTTTTTCGCATGAAGAAATATTTAGAAGATAACTCCTCATCACAGATATATTTTTTCTCTTACAACCACATAAAACATTGTGATTTTCTGACTTAGGAAACATCTCTTCATGATGTTTTCTAATATGATATAAATAGGTATAATAGTGTGTATCATTTTCATATGCACTTCATATATTATATTTAATGTTGTTGTAATAAATCGTTACTCTCTATTTTCTGTGTTCAATTTCTTCATTTCATGATCTGCACATAAAAATAAATTCTGGAAAAATAAGCAGCGCTTTATACTTCAAACTATTTTCCATGTGGCTCTAATGTTATTGTTGTTTATGAAAATCAATATTACAAATTAAAAACCTTCTAAGGTGAAATTTATAGCAGAGGGTCGGGACCCCTTAAATGAAAACATACGGTGTATCACTACAATAATTTTCACCAAAATACATTTTATGAATTAATCATGTTACAAAACCTGAGCATTTAAAAAGGTTTTGTATTTTCTAGGGATGTCAACGAGTACCCGGTTAACCGGGTACTCGATCGAACGTCCGAGTATCGAATACTAAAAATGGTATTCGGTTACTCGGATAAATATTTTTAAATATTTCTAAGCTTGTTTATTAATGCATTTAAAATCGGTTTTTTAAAACGTAAAATGTTCATTGCCACTTGTACATACAATAATTAGGGTTTCCTGTGCCTCTAAATGACCGTTATCGCCTGTGGCAGTGTTTATACAGTAATTACCGTGACCAAGCACCTGTTACCTACCTGGCTTTTCTCACCTTCGGCTGTCTTCTACCCTTATTTTTGTTTTGCTCTAATTATTTGTTTTCATTGAACATCGTTAAAGGTCTATTACGTTTAAAATAAATTAGATAATATTGTCAATTCTGCAGAAGCCGTAAATTCTCGGGGAAAGAAATAGACGAAATTGCACGTGCGATTTTTGATCTGGATGCGTTTGATTACATGCCAATTAATGCAAATGGTTGAAGGCAAAGGCTTTAAAAATCTTAATATGTCCATCGTTGCACCAAACTACAACATACCATCTCGTAATTTTATAAAATCTAGGATCGAAAAGTATACGGAGATCCGCTCTGTTATAGGAAAACTTGATCAAGTTGATACATGTACCGTTATCGCCTGTGGCAGTGTTTATACAGTAATTACCGTGACCAAGCACCTGTTACCTACCTGGCTTTTCTCACCTTCGGCTGTCTTCTACCCTTATTTTTGTTTTGCTCTAATTATTTGTTTTCATTGAACATCGTTAAAGGTCTATTACGTTTAAAATAAATTAGATAATATTGTCAATTCTGCAGAAGCCGTAAATTCTCGGGGAAAGAAACAGACGAAATTGCACGTGCGATTTTTGATCTGGATGCGTTTGATTACATGCCAATTAATGCAAATGGTAGAAGACAAAGGCTTTAAAAATCTTAATATGTCCATCGTTGCACCAAACTACAACATACCATCTCGTAATTTTATAAAATCTAGGATCGAAAAGTATACGGAGATCCGCTCTGTTATAGGAAAACTTGATCAAGTTGATACATGTACCGTTATCGCCTGTGGCAGTGTTTATACAGTAATTACCGTGACCAAGCACCTGTTACCTACCTGGCTTTTCTCACCTTCGGCTGTCTTCTACCCTTATTTTTGTTTTGCTCTAATTATTTGTTTTCATTGAACATCGTTAAAGGTCTATTACGTTTAAAATAAATTAGATAATATTGTCAATTCTGCAGAAGCCGTAAATTCTCGGGGAAAGAAACAGACGAAATTGCACGTGCGATTTTTGATCTGGATGCGTTTGATTACATGCCAATTAATGCAAATGGTTGAAGGCAAAGGCTTTAAAAATCTTAATATGTCCATCGTTGCACCAAACTACAACATACCATCTCGTAATTTTATAAAATCTAGGATCGAAAAGTATACGGAGATCCGCTCTGTTATAGGAAAACTTGATCAAGTTGATACTGTACATGTAGCTCTGACGACTTATTACTTGGACTTCAAACGCATCAGAGTACATTACAATTAGGGAACAGATTATTTTTTTAAACAAAACCACTGTGACGTATTTATGATTTTATTTCTCGCATTTATCAGATAAATAAATTGAACTTTAAAAAAAAATGTTAGATTAAATTTCGTCGGGCACAAAGTGGTCATAATTGTTACAATACATTAACAGGTAAACCTCCCATCAGACCATGTGGTTTTATTTCTACAAGGGTTTACAATGTTTTACAGTTATGAATTAACAAGTTCATATTTATTTAGACTTTTTCCGAGTACCCGGGTACTCGATCGGAAAAACGTCCGAGTAACCGAGTATTAAAACTGGACCGATTTGACATCCCTAGTATTTTCACATGTGGTCATGAAATAGTCCAGAACATGAAACCATTCCATTGTAAGATGCAAATCTTATACGGTACAATTTTTGATGCACCAGATATGCATTTCGACAAATTAAGTCTCTTCAATGATACTAGTACTCTGACATGCCGAATTGTTTTCTTTAATTAAAGAGTATTTTTTTAATTAAATCTTGATGTTGAGTCCTGAGGATTGTGTTATGCTGTCTTTTTGATATTTTACGGATGTCCTACTGCGTATCCTCTAAATTCGTACTTTGGCAAATTTGTACTGAATTCATATTTATCATTGAATGTGTAAATTTTCTATATTTACCATCCTTGTTAATTATAATAGTTAGTAATGAAAAACGGTAGTGCGATTTTGTCAAGTCCGACCTCGTTATGGTCCGACAGTGTTATAGTCCAAATTATCTATCAGCGAAAAATAGAGTTTGCCCGCTCAGCGAAGATCCAACGTTGAATCAATGTTGGCAAATCAATTTGAATTCAATGTTGATTCAACGTTAAATTTTCAACGTTGAAAAGTCAAAGTTGAATCAATATTGTATCTAGATTTATTAATTAAAGTCTAAACCTAACTTCAACTAATATTCAACGTTTAAACAACGTTGTGTGCCTGCTGGGTTTATATAATCTCAAATGTAATGGATCGAATTTTCTCAGCTTATGAAATAATCAACTCTTATTACAAATATGAAATCTATGTTCAGTATCAGGAATATGTCGAAATCTTAAAGTACTTTAATGTACTTCTATGAATGAAAAGATTTCTTCCGGTAAGGGAGAAGTCATTTTAGATAGAATTTAAATAAAAATAATGAAGTGAGATATGATTGATCGGGTTCGGTATTCGGCCAAGATAGGTGGACATTTTTTCCAAGAGTAAAACCGAGTGGTAAAATAGGCTAAAATAGGCTAAAATCTAAAGAGTAAGCAGAGTGCGTGAAACATGATTGAGATTGGAATCTGGAGGATCCGAATTGGACAGTTTTCGTTCCGAGGTATGCGGACAAACATCACAACACGTAAAACATCAGAGGGTAAACCCACGTCCGCCATTTTGAATATTCGTTTCGGATTGGTGATCGCTATAGTCTTCATCATAGCTCTTCAACAGTGCGGGGATGTTGAGACGAATCCAGGACCTGGACCTGGA